ACCTATATATAGACGTAATCTGTACTGTACATGTTAATAAATAAAATACTTAAAATTCACGTAAATACAAAAAATATATATTTATCGAGAAAACTATATAGGTATCTTTTATATTATCGAAACTATGGTCTATGGAACGATAATAATCTACTTCTAGATTCTCAGACTTGGCTTGTACTTAAAGATATTAGCGAAAATTACTTTAACTCTGCAATGCAGCTCTTAGAGAGGCGTGTACTGTAATTAGTGAAGCGTTTTAGTGCTTCATATCGCTGGGAATTGTGCACAATATCTAAGTTTTATTTTATTACCAGTGAATTGCACACCTTTCTCTCCATTAAGGAGTAGCGTAGCACTATTAAGCTTAGTAGCGAGACCTGTGAATAAAATTTAACGTTGTGTTTGCAAAACAATTAGTCGAGCGGGTTGCAAGCACGAATGTTTGCTAAGTACTTGAACTAGTTTTCGATATTATTTTCGTTCGAAACGGGATAACGTAAACATTTGCGAGAGCAAAATGATACACTTGCTTAGTTTTAAATAAAAATAATTTGAGATATCATGTAAAAGTACCTGGGCGACCGAACTTCGACTGGTGTTTTTTCAGTAAAGATACAAAATTTCATTCTTTTCAGAAAGAACCGTTTCCGAGATACATGAAATAAATTTGAATATATAAGAATTGTTCATTTAAAATAATATAAGAATATATGTACATTGTACATATGTATGTAAATAGGTACTGAACAATTTGAGAGAGAGAGAATAATTTGATTGCGACTGACTCTAACTTAATAAAATTATAAACTCTTTTGCGGCTTCTCTAGTTCACTAGAAAAACATAATTGATTTATCACAATCTGTTGTAATCTAGCATTAAAATCTGTTAAGTTATAAATCCTTACTTAAAGTAGGTTATCTGCATGCTACAATCACATTTAAATCGTGGTCTTAGTACTGCTTAAATAGTATTTTAAATTTTATATAGCCTTTTTTATACCTACTCATAACTTAATGTATTTATATTTGTATAACTTAAAAATACATTAGATTCCTCACAACATTCTACCTTTTTAATATTAACGTCTTAGACAGTAGGTAGTCAGTATTAGGCTTTGCGCTAACTACCCCCTCAACGTGCGTTCACCTTGTCGTGGTGGGGGGGCTCAGTAGTGCCCGGCAACCCAACCGGGCGCGAAGCCAAGAAACGCACAGGGAGGTGGCCCACTTCGGTGGGCGGTGGGAGGTGGCCCTCTTCGGAGGGCAGTGTACCATGCGGGTTGCTCCTGGTACTTCTCTGATAGCAGAGTTGTTGTGGTCTGCTTCGGCAGACCTGCCGTCGGGGCGTCGTAGTTAAATGCGTAAGCGATCCTGCGACGCCCCATTAAGACGGGGGAAGGTTTTGTTGGGTTTTAGTGGGTAGTACTGCGTAAATGCATTTCCCAACGTTAAAAAAAAAGGCTTTGCGCTAACTATATTATCTAAAAACATGGTATCGTGAAAAATCTCTCCAATCTTCCCCCTTGCGGACTCGTAATCTCAAGATAATTGGTGCTAACTAGACTTTTTCACGATATTATAAATACAATATAAATATTATATAGATACGTATGTCTACACATTCCATTAGTGATTAGATCATCATATATCATCTCCTCCATCATCATCTAATAATACCATTAATTTAATTTTTTCCTAAATCTGTACTTTAAGAAACATAAAATTGAGATTCTAAGTGTATTATTTTAACTTTTTAATATGCATATTAATTATATGTATTTTAATTATATTTCTTAAATTTAAAATAATAAATAAATTATAATAAAATAATAATTTAGAATTTTAGAGTTCGTGGATACAAAGAAGCCCCATCCTTTGGCAGTGAGGTGGGCTTACGTGAGGGTACAGGTCCATACTTAGAAGATCAGATAACAGATCCATGAAACAGATTTAAGTTTGATTAAAGTGACGCATCAGCCAACATCCCTCTTTAAATAATCCATTGGAAATTGCCCATATTCGTTACTAGCTAATATGTAGAAACTATGAAAAGTATCGAAAAACTAATTCTATACATATAATAAAATTCTAACTAAGTCGAATTTGTACATTAATTTTTCTTTTGAAAATCTTATTGCAATAGACATTATTATCGATGCAGACGCCAAATCTATAGTTTTTAGAATTTTTGTCTGTCTGTCTGTTACCGCATCACGGAAAAACCCCTGGAGGATTTTGATGAAATTTGTATGATGGTAGCTGGTTATCCGGGTCAACATATAGGATTCTTTTTACTGAGGGAAAATATCTAATTTCTGAGAAAAAATACAAAAACTGCAATGTAAGAGTATACTAAAACGTAAGAATTTGCTTTTTGGTCATCTGAACGCGGGCGGAGCCGCGGGCATGCTAGTAAATAATAATTCTGGGACATAGTAATAAAAACTGGGTTGTAACTGGTTTGCACACCAATTTCTGGAGGCTAGTAGAAGGCTGTTTACACTAACCACTACCAAATTATTGGCGTAAAGCCTCAGACACAACAACAATCATTTAAGGCTGTTGAAAGATATGCACCAATTTCAGCGAAAAAGCTCAAAAGCTCGTTTTTCCGTTACACTTCAACACTTTCGAGCTGGCCAATGAAGAGAAGCCAGAAGTGGAGGTCAGATTTTGTTTCCCTTTGGAGATCTTAGGTCTGTCGTGGTAACATTTACTAGCAAACAGCTAGCCCTAAGATTTAAGATCACTATTATGAATAAAAATAATGAAAATAAATAATATAACAAACAGCAGCATTTCCATGTAAATAAATACATAATTCATTATTGAATATCACCATAAATTAAGAAATCAACCAAAAAATGACATTACATGAATAAAGCTATTAAAATTCCATTACAATAAATTGTTCAATAAATTAATGGAAATAATGCAACTCGACTTAACACATATGTCACATTGTTATTTACCAAAGGCACGTTCCAATTTGGAAACAAATTACAAAGCGATGGAAATTTGTTGTAATCAGCGTTCGAATGGTATTTAATCAAAGGGAATCAATGATTGTGCTGACGATCGTGCGTACGGGAACTGATTGTTGGTACTTGTGTACTGTGCATTGAACAACATGTCTTTTAATTCACTGAGACAATGGTTGATCAATTTCATTAAATACTTCTATAAAAACTTTTAATCGGTAATTAAAATAATAAATGAAAAACCTACTTAGACTTTATCAATTAACTGAAATGCACTGTTAATAAGCGATTATTTCAATGGAGAAAAAATAGTATCTTTTAACAAAATTGGTTTTAGTTCCTGTTTTGTTTAGGTTATTAATTAAATTTCTTCTTCTTCTGAATAAATTTTAACAATTTCCTGAAGAAGAAAAAGTTATTTTTACATTTCATACAAAAGACACATATTAGATGTACGATTTTTAAATTATATTATATATATTTTTCAATTATATATATTTTATACAAAGTGGAAGTTTAAGTAAACTAGGCTCGTGCCATGAAATGCGATATCAGGAACAAACCTCTTTGCTTTGTTATAGTTTTGTTACCTCGCTAGCTTTCAGAAGTAAACCTATTATAGCGTAACGATGAAAGCACTGTGAATACGCTCTACTTTTATATTTTTCTTTATTCGACATAAATGATATTTGATTATTCGAAATACTTTTGCTACAGAACCCCATTCTCAGTAGCTAATAATCTTTTAATTGGTATTCTTCATACAAATTTTTCTTATTACTCTGAAATGTGATAATGTTATAAACAAGATAATATTCATGCTACACTGTTATGGTGATATTTTTATGTTACATTTTATTATTTATATATAATTTACGTTACTACATTATATCCCACCCTATCTTTCCTCTTTTATTTGTATCTTTATTTACGCAGAAGATGTTAGTGGGTAAATTTAGTATTTAATAAGTGCGTATGATTTAAAAAGTTATTTGTTTTTGTTTAACAATAATTTAAGAATAATTGGTTGTTTCTTTGCTCCCTTACAAAAGTAATATTATTATGATAAAACCTAAAATAAGTAACCAATAAGTTAAGAATGCAAGAACGTAATTCGTATCTAGATTAGAGAACTACAAAAAGCATTAGGAAAAATATATTTTGATGATATAATCCTTGTACCAACGAGAAAATGTACAAAAAATTCAATGTTGCCGGCTTACTGTCATTCTTTATCCCCTTTTGTAAAGCTCTCTCAAGTACCTTTCCTTATTCGAATTTACCTTCTTAATTGCAATACATCACTGAACATTGTATCGTTTAAAATCGCCCTTACTTTTACTTCGATTTCCACCAAATATACCGCCGCTATTAATAAAAAAATATATTTATTTACATTACTCTAATCATTTAAGTTTTAAAAAAGTATATGCAAAAATTCATAATAATTTGCATGTTAAAGCCCAAAAATAGAGCTATATTCATTAGAAGTATGTGAAAAGTATTATGTACATAGAAATATAAAAATTAAAAAACATATGTCTTATAAATTAATTTGTGTCCGTATACATATAAAAGGTATGTAAATATAAAATTCAACTTAACATTATATTTGGGGCATACATATGTATGGAAATTACCGGTAAATTTTCGCGAAAAATAAATAAACAGGCATACACCTTGCCATTTTGATCGTTGAATTATTCATGACGTATCACATGAACACCTGAGCGAAGGAGCGAGAACTCTCCGAATACGGCTAGTGTCATTGTTTGGGGGAGCTAACGAAATGGGTAAGCCACATTGATTTAAGGCCCAAATAAAAAATATCGGATATCACCACCCGTGTTGAGACAAAATAAAATGTTATTACGAATATAAATAGAAACTGTAATAATTGTAACTGGCTGTAAATACTTATATTATTTTAATAAACTGTCATATATCAAAATGACAAGATAAATGTTAAAGACAACTTAAAATCAAATATATAAAATATTTCTAAGATTTAAACAAGTAATGGCTTCGGTTTATCATTTGCTACAAACTCCTAGCGAGTTCTATGCAGAACTTCAAGAGAGAGCCGATCTTGCGGAGAGTAGACGACATAAACGTTTTCTTGCTGTATTACTATTACAGCGTATGACACGAGGATATTTGATTAGAAAACATATCTCTTGGTTATCAAAAAACGCCATAACTATACAATGTGCGTTTAGAGTCCACAAAGCACGGAAAGTATACCGCGCTGCCTTACGAAGAGCAGTTAAGAATAAAGACGCCAAGCACTATGGTCGAGCAGCGACTATCATACAGGTCTTAATTTACAAATTTAAGAATAAGTATAGTAACAAAAATGTGTATGTAATATTCATTTTACATTTATGTAGTACATGAATTCTCATATTATCATATTTGATAATACTAGATGACTTCTTCTCTTCATATGGATAAATGCCGAAGTTGATCAATATTATAATGTTTTTACCTTCATATTATTATAACTATAGAAATACAGTTTAATTAATATAATATATACTAAATAGATATTGATTTGCAACGTTAATAATAGATATTATATTATGTAACTATATAATATTTAAAAAAAATATTATTTATACTATAGAATTTTATATTAACAATGTTCCGAAAATATTATTTATTTTCCAGTTATGCCTCAATTTAGTAACATCGTATAAATAGTTTCTTTAATTAGTGACTTACCTTAGTTTTTTAATGTTTACTTTTGTAGGCTCTTTGGCGGGGATATTATTCTCGGCGCACCAAATTCTGTTACCAGTCATACAGAACATGGTTAGCTGCAGTGAAGGAACGTGGTGAAAGGCGAGCTGCAGAAGCAGCTGAGTTCGGTGTTAGAAGTCGAGCTGATATCTTAAGTATTTTAGAAGAAGAAGCTCGCCAATGGCTAGCTTTTGTTGTGTTCAAATTACATCATTTATTAAGAACTCATGTTTGTGCTGGTGTTTACTCAAAACTAGCTAGTACAGAGCTCTCTGAATTTGAAAAACTTCTCAAATCTATTCATTATACAGAATATATGAAGAGGCTTAAACGAAAATATAATGAATTTGTTAGAAAATATCGTCCAAGGTTTTCAAATAAAAGGTTATTTCCAATTATAGGGGATGGATCTGACTATTGGTATCTATCACTACCGGAAATGTACGAATTAACAACACCTACCCCAAAAACTGAAGATACTCGTCATCTTGCGAAGCATCACACCTCGCTACATAAAAAACCTTTTCTTTGGAAGAAAGTTCGACCTTCATATTTAGATGAAGACAGAGGACCATTCACAATATCTAAAATATCATCAAGGTCGGTGCTCCCATCACCGCCCCCACCAGCCCCTACACCTAGCATCAATGGAAGACCTCATAAAGATCCACGTTTTCATCTCTACGTAAAACATTACAAGCCACAGCCTGATCTTTTCGATTACGTCGACTACCACATCAATCTATTGTTGGCTAGGAAATGTTCTATTGAAACTATAGACAATGATTCATAAGTTTTTTTTCAAATTCACAGTGCTTGTTAATTTGTCATGGATATTACAATAGTCTGTTTTAGTACACTTGGTAGAAGGCATGTTGAGTTTTTCTTTTCTTATTCGGAAATCCGTAATCAGGCTGAGTTTGGAAGGGTCGCCCGGATGTTGCGAGCCGCGAGCCTTTTGTTGTTACGCTTTTGTTGTTCTGAATTTTACACTTGTAATTTATTTGAGGAAACGCCTCGGTGAGAAAGAAATTACATTAAACTCTCCAAGGCAAATGTGTTTTGTAAATTAACATCTCGCTTATGTAGGTTTTATGGTTGAATTCCCTTTTATTATTCCAAATTTATTTGCATGTCGACTGAAATTTTTTACAGCATTTAATCACTTCAGTGAATTTGTACGCCAATAAGGAAAATACTTAGAAGTAATTGAGAGTTTTTTCGTTTATATTCTGAAGAAAAATTTAAATTTATATGAAAACACAAAATACAAAGTGGATATCTAAAAATAATGAACGCTTTTGTGCTTATGAAATTGAAAATAATTTTGCTATTAACATTTTAAATCAGTTAAACATTAAAATATTGTTAGTTAAACAAGTTGGACCTAATAGAAGAAACTATTACTAAGATAATTATGTACATAGTTTTAATGACAATATCTTCTACTGTTTATTTATTATTTAGACCAAAGTGAAGTTTTATTTAATTTTTCTCATATAAAATTACTGCATTAACAGCTGTACAAATAAGCTGTCGCAACAAGCACCTTTAAATAATATGTTTAACACCGCACGTCTTAGAACTCATTTGTCTAACAATGCCTGTTTGACTCGGCAAATTTATTAGGGTCAGAATAATTCAGCTTGTGGGTTTCTGAACCGGCTCCTTATTGCTGCGTCTTTGGGGTAACCATTTGTTAGCTGTATAATGGTTGACCCACTTTACATATATTTAAGAAAATATGTGGTGATTTGTTAGCAACCAGACGAAAGGACGAGGATTATTTATTAATCTGTAATTACGATCATTTCAAGGTCATCAGAAATTATCCGCTATAGGCTCACTTCGTCTCTAGTTTCACGAATTTGTGCGTGAACTGAAAGTGTCAGGCTCAGAGAGGGTGTTTGGCACATGAATAATGTATGGGGTAAATTTGCAAGTGTTTCAATTTACACCCGACGCCACTCCGCGCTCGTTCATACGCACCCGAGAGCCGTTGAAGTGTAAAAAGAAAACAAAGAGAGGCACAAACGGGGACAAGAGACGGTCGAATTAGCACGTAGTTAGTTCACCTCGCGTATTTCTATTTTTGTAATGTTATTCTACAATCTGGGCATAAGTAGAGAGAGGTTGCTTTGAAAGTTTTTGCTCTGAATACAAAGGTGCTCTTTAGTCATTAACTATGAGGTATATACATACTCGTATATAATTTTCATGATAAAATATTTTTTTTCTTACATAAATACAGGTTGTGTGATACATTATTAAGAGTATGTTTTTGATATTTTACGAAGCTTAGCTTTCATTTACAGCTCCATTGATATGCTTATGTAACATTTCATCTGTCAGTGGAAGTTACATTAAAGTCAGATCAGCCATCCTAGAGTGTAGAGAGGATAAACATATAAATTCAAATTTTGGTTTTTATGCAGATTGGTTACTTTCTTAAAAGTGATAAAATATTTTTTCCACTATTTTTTAAATGAGGTCCGCTAGCGATGTCAAATCGAAAAAGGCTGACATTATTATAATTTCCGTATATTATTAGAACATTTTTAAATAAGGGATTTCGTCCGACTTGTTACATATTATATTTGAATTAAAATATAAGTATATTGATATTTTATTAGAGCAATAATATGATATTATATTGTCACAGAGTTTATTTTTAGTTTAATTAAACATAGGTACAGTCCTCAATTTTCAAGAAGCTTTACAAACTGCATAAATACCAAATTATTTAATGTGTGTTTTGTTAATAACCACATTTTTTTAATTGTAGACAAGCAGAGTAAGTAATATTTATATTATAAAGAGAGTATATATAATATAAAAAAGAGGATATAGATAATATAAGAAAGAGATCTAGATGAAGTTTGGCACAATAGAACATAGTTTGGAATAGCACACAGGCTACCTTTTCCATTTTTATTAAAAAAGTACGGTCCCCGTAATAGATAGATAGACTTTATTGTTTTTACTAAAGGGTAACCCGAGCGAAGCGTGGGTGAGCCGCTAGTATGTTATATTCAGGGCATAAAGCAAAAGTTCTAGCTTAAATATAGAAATCACATTCGCTAGGTAGTTAGTTTTTATCGTGGCAATAGGTAACTAGTACAATGCATGAAAGCGTACTGAAAGGTGGCAAAGGCAATTGCGAGCACCTCGGGCGAGCCGTCTCTCACCGCACAAGCGCGATGAAAACTACTTACCAGCGTATTAAATCAATTTCATTTCATTTCTTCAAATGTCGGCGAATCTGCGATAATGTATTTAATAGCAAGTTTATTTTGCTTGCACCCGATATTTTGACGTTAATAGTGGGTTCACACGGCATTGTCCTGCACGATTTTTTGTATTCGATTTTAAACGTACAATCGGCTGGATGATCACATGGTAGATATTCATTCATGTGAAAACAAATATACCCAGTTCTCACACGTTGAGACAGAGCTAAACTATGCGCCACTACAAACCGAATACGTTAAAGTTCATTCGATTTGCTTGACAAGTCCGGTGAGTATAATTCGTGTAAACGAATAAATGGTGTACAATTTTTGCAGTACAAAAGACGTGAGAACGGTTCTACGTACAATGTGTGTACCACTATATATTCGTTAAGACGTATTTTTTTTTTAATTAGAAATGGGCTCACTCTTGACCTTTATCTTAGCTCGAAGGCACAGATAATTTTTAATACTGTAAAAAAACGTGCAGGACAATGCCGTGTGCACCAGCGCGGTGGCATTTTCTTAACAATGTCATAAACTATGACTGAAGGCAATGAGTGGTAGATAACACAATAATAACACACTGCGTTCTATAAACTACTATTGCTGGTATTTTTATAATATCCTATGTACTATAACGTTCCACAACCTTATTACTACTTTGTTTACAAAACAGATAAAACAATGTAAGAAATTGAACAACTCAACGTTAATCTGTCAATTCTGTCAATATTTTTGAAGAACGCCTACTGTCTTCTGTCTCACTCACTTTTTTACATTCACAATAAGTACGCAGATTTTGATTAAAATTTTGTGTACTTATTATGAGGTCACCTGAATATTTCAGCTATATTGGGACCCGGTAGGAAGGTAATGTTAACGAGATTTCAAAAGAGCATAAATAAAAATGTTTGGACAAAACAACTTCTATCGGGTCGGCTAGTATAAATATAAAAATACATTTCATTTTGATACACAATAAGTGTACAAATACAACATTTATTTCTAAATTAAAGGTTACTGCAGTATATATTTTAACATAAAAGACGAAAGCCTTTAATTTTAATAGTACCAAGGTAGGGTATTTAAACAGAAAAGAGCATTGAAGCAATTAGTAGATATTTCTTTGACTTGCTATAAGAACTAAATAATTAAGGATACCTTGTAATATTTTTTTTATTAAAAAGCATTTCTCCGCTTAAATTAAGTTTTTTATACTAACAATATTATTTATTTAAATAGACTTTATCACTATTTGAATGTTAGTGTAGTTAGTCCGTGAGGAAGTTATAATCGGACCCTCAGAGCCTGGGCGGACCAAGCTGTACCGTGGGTAGCCAAAGTGAAAGAAAAAACATGTAAATTTTCTAATATTTACGCGAATTATTTAAAATTTAATATGCGAATTATAGTAATACATTACATAAATCTTCTGACTAAATTTCTAGTTCTAAGGTATGTTTATTCCTGTATAATTAAATAGCTTTTACCGAAAAAAATCCTAACATTCCTCCAAGCTCTACGCGAAGCTGATAATTCAGAGCAGAACTTCTCCATCGATCGGGAATGGGTCCGTGATCTGTATGAAAAATGCGGACCGGCAGTAATTAGTGATCGTGGGACGAAGGAACGCGCGGGCTTACGTCGCTGCAATCGTAGGAAAAATATTACGAGAAGTTCGTGTCAATAGCTCTTACTTTACGCACGTAGGCAGTAAACAAAGTATTGAAGAATTTGTATATATTAACAGTATGCGAATTACTCGAGAACGGCTTGGTATCGCATTTTTTTAAATGTTCATTATAAGGTTTTTAGGGAAAATATTTGGAAAGGCTTCCCGGGAAATAGGATCATTAAGGAAAAACTGAAAATGCTCTTTTCTATGAGATTTTTTTTGGACTTAAATATTAAAAAATACTTTTTAAAATGTTTACAGGGCCGTGTTTGTCGGGTCCGCTAGCACACATAGATAAAAAACAAATGGATCTTCATTTGTTTTTAGCCGATTTCCAAAAAGGTTATATCTTACTTTTTTTGTATGTACCTATGTACATCGATAACTTCAAGGTTTTTGGGGCGATTTCCATGATTCTTTTTGTGAAATTAATTTTCTGTGAATCAAAATATTTGATATTGGTAGCAGTTACTTTGCAAGGAAAGTACATCACCGATCAGGATAGGTTATGGACGTGAACAATGGGGCATTTGTAACATATTTCTTATTTATTTATGAATTATTTACTTATAACTAACTAGTTATAAGTAACTACTTACCCTGGCTTAGCTCAGGGTGTCTAACGTTGTGAATGCGCAAGCGATCCTGCACATTGCACTGCGGCGACGGGTTCCGCTGTGGGTTTTAGTGAGTAGGAGTCTCACAGTACCCTACCCATTGACGGCCGGTAGGGTCCCCATGATGGGTTTCCCCAGCGTCAACAAAAAAAAAAAAAAAAAAAGGGTGTCTAACGTTCCCCCCCAACGTGCGTTCACTTTGTCGAGGTGGGGGGGGGGGGGGGGTCTCAGAGGTGCCCGGCAATACAGCCAGGCGCGAAGCCAA